GAGAAGTCGCTTAACAGATTGAAAATGAGCATTTGTAGGGGCATGCATATGTTGACAAGCTTAGTTCACAGCCAAAAACATGTCTGGCCTTGTAATAGTGAGATATTGAAGCCCTCCAACAATGCTTCTTTAGAGAGAAGGTTGAGAAAAAGACAACGACTAAGTTGGAAGAACAGAAGTTTTGACTGCCATAGGTATGGAGCAAGGTTTACAATCAGACATGCCAACTTTGAAAAGATGATCTGAAGCATATTTCTGTTGGGAGGGGAAATAGCCATGTTGAAGATTGAAAACTGAAATCCGCCAAAAAATAGGAAAGAGAACCAAGTTCTTTCATAGAAAATTCTAAGTGTATTTGTTTCAACACCTTGTTGAGTGTTAGTTTTTTATTTTTGGCAATCCCGTTTGACAAAACTTCTTTCAGTTGTAATTGTATTCGATCTTTTGTTTTAGTGAGGCTATGAGTTTTAGATGCGAATTCAACATGAATTGTGCCTATGTAGAGGAATTTGTGATCTTAATCCTATCATATTTGCCACTTCGCTGACTATGTCAGGGATCGAGTTGTTTTTTTCCGCTCGAGCGGCCATTCCTGCGCTTGAGCGTAGATCCGCTCGAGTGGCAATTCTTGCACTCGAGCGGAGATCGCAGATCTGTTTTCTATAAATATGTGTTTCAGTCCGATTTTAGGGTACGACTTCCAGATCTTCTTCTTGGGTATTAGGGTTTTAATCTAGAGCTTCTTTGCTTGTTTCCTTTGATATCTGTAAGAGTTTAACTATGAATTGAGTGGATTATATCAAAGGGTTTGTTTGTTTTATTTATTCAATACAAAAGAAAGAGTTTTTCTTCGGTGGATTCCGGGGAATTTAGGCCTGAAGCTTTAGTAGATTCTGGAGTGGCTCATCGTTGTGGATTCGACATCGGCGTTGTGGATTCAACGTTGTACAAGACAATTCCGAGATGAAGACGGGCTGGCAGAAACACATAGGGGTCGGTTCGATTCAGATGTGGATTCGCTAGGCAATTGAGAGTATACTTGTGTAATTCCTTTATGTCTTCTTAGTAGATTGTTTTGTGGCTTTTGTCCGTGGTTTTTTTTATCACAATTGAAGGCGCTCCAATTGTGGTTTTTCCACGTAAAATCGTTGTGTCGATTTGTCTTTGATTGTTTGATTGTGATTGCTATTTACTGTTTAAAATTGATACATAATCACAAATCAATATCTAGGGGATTTCTAGATTTCTCAATGATGATAAGAGGATCATTTCCAGTTAATAGGATGTCATCAACATAGATGACAAGGATAGTGAGGCTAACAGATGTCTTGTTGATGAATAGAGAAGTGTCAGACTTGCTATTGTGAAAACCTTGAGAAAGCAAGGTGGAAAAAGTGGAGTACCAAGCCCTTGGAGCTTGCTTAAGGCCATAGAGAGCTTTATTAAGCTTGTATACATGAGATGGAGTTAAGGAATTCACAAACTTTGGAGGTCGGACCATATAGACCTCTTCCTTAAGTTTACCATGTAAGAAAGCATTAGAGATGTCTAATTGCTTTATAGGCCAATTAAAATGAAGAGAAAAGCAGATAAAAATACGGATAATGGGTTGCTTCGCAACAGGGATTAAGGTTTCTTGGAAATCAATGCCTTCTTGCTACAGGTAGCCCTTTGCAACTAATTTAGCCTTGTACCTAGTAATACTACCATCTGAGTTCTTGATTTAAAAACCCACTTACATCAAATAGAAATTTTAGAAGAATGAAGAGGAACTAAGTCCTATGTACCCTGAGCATGAAGAGCTTGAAATTCCGATTGCATAGCTTCAACCCAAACTAATGATTGAATGGTCTCTTTAATAGTAGCAGGTTCAGTATGAAGAAATCTAGAAAAAAGGTCAGAAGCAAATTTATGAAGACAAATAGATTCCTTAGCCTTGGACCTAGTAGTCATAGAATGAGTATTGATAGATCCTGCAAGTGCTGCAGATGTTATAGGTGTTGTAGGTGTGGAACAATAACGAGGAGAGAAAGCAGAAGACTCATAACTGGAGGAAGAACTAAGATGAGAAGAAAAACCTATGGAGAAAAAGAAAAACCAGAAGTAGTAGACATAGGAGATGAATGACTAGAAGGCCAAAAGAAATATGTAAGGAAGAGGGAGGGCTAGATAAAGATGGAGCAGAAAAGGTGAGAGAGAAAGGAAAACAAGTTTCATTAAAAAGAACATGCCTAGAGATATAGACTTTTCCTGTCAATGGGTCAAGACATCTATATCCTTTAATAGTAGGATGATAGAATATGAAAACACAAGCCAGAGATTTAGGTTGCAAGTTATGTGAAGTGTAAGGCTTTAACCATGGGAAATATTGACAGCCAAAGACTTTAAAATAGGCATAATCAGGCATAGCATGATACAGAGTTTCAAAAGGAGAGGAATTAGCAAGAACTGAACTAGGCATGAGATTAATGAGAAACACAACAGTGACAATGGCATCAAACTAGTAAATAAACTAATGGTAAAGAAGAGTGATGAAGTAGAGTAATAGCTGTCTCTGTGATATGCCTATGTTTTATTTCAGCAAGTCCATTTTGGGTCCAAGTGTAAGGACAACTAGATTGATGAATAATGCCTTGAGAGGTCAAATAAGAATCCATTCTTTTATTGACAAATTCAATTGTATTATCTGTTCTCAAAATTTTGAGTTTAGTGTGAAATTGTGTCTCAGCATGGGCTTTAAATTCAAGAAATTTGGAATAAACCTCACACTTACAAAGAAAAGGATACATCCAAGTAAACCTAGAGAAATCATCAATGAACAAAATCTAGAATTTGATTTTAGTATTGCCAGAAGAAAATGGACCTCATACATCACTATGTACTAAAGAAATGGGTGAATCCACAACAAAGTTAGACAATTTGAATGGTAGTCTATGCATTTTGGAAACATTCCAGTCAATATAAGCAAACTCTTATTCAAAACAGGTGCATAAGAAAACTGTGGAGCTAAATGCTGAAGTTTCTCAAATGAGAGATGGCCTAGTCTTTGATGCCATAGTAAATCAGAAACAGGAATAGATGAGCTGGTCTTATATGCTTCAGGTGAAATCACAGAAGAAGAGTTATGAAAATGATACAATCCATTGATATTAGTACCTCTATGTGGTGCCTGGTTCATGGACTTGTCCTCAATCACAAAAGAATTGGCATAAAAAATCACTACACAATTATGATTTGTAGTTAATTATGCTAAAAAAATTATTATAAATTTTATATTAGAAAAATATTTTGTCCCCAATTTTTTTGACTGCTTTATATCACCTCTTATATGAATACTCATAATTGGTTCATTTGTTTACTTATTATTATTACACAATTAATGATAACTAACAATATGTTTTCATGTAATTCAGTGATTCAAAACGGTTAAAAAAAACAAGTGATATATAACAGCTCATGTATATTATTTATTCACTTTTTTCTCATTTTTTTTTTCTCTATCCCTCTCTATATCTCTTTTTTTGTGTGCATCTTGATATATTTTTGTTATTATATTTTATAAGGGCATATGATTATTTTTTAAACCTCGATGATCATCAAATATAAAATCAAATTAATAACAATAACGATACCATACTAATTTTTAGTCTTATCATCAAATAAAATTAGGTTAATTTTTTTTTTTAATAGATAGGAGAATAATTACAAATATGAGAAATATTTATATTATCAAAGAGATTAGTAGCCCATAATGGTTAGAAAATCAACAAAACTTAAAACAACTAATAAATCAAGCCCAACAATCACTACTAATTGCATACAACGCCCATGATGGGGGAGAAATAAATCACCATAAGGGGTGTCAAACTCCTCTTCATAGGAATTGAACCCAAGACTTCACACCGCAAAAGGTGTTACATAACCACTAAGCTAGATGCCCTGATTAAAAATTACGTTAAGTTAACTTGTGATTTTTTGTCAAGATTTCAACTCAATAATGCCCCTTCTGACTAAAAATTCTTGTCCCGACATTGTTTAATGGTATAACATATAGGCAACAGGGTCACAGGAGCCTCACTTTTAGGGTTTGTGGGAGTTTATCATGGGCCTATCTTGATGATCTGAACTATTCATATTGTAAGGTTCGTCGAATGTATCATACATGAAAAAATTAGATTAATTAAACATGCATAATCCCATCATCAAGGTTTAATTGTTTTTAAAAAAAATTATCAAAACCATGTTAATCGTATATTTTTTTTAAATATATGTGTAATTAATCTAATTTTTTTAATAAATAATTTATTTAATGAATCTTATAATATAAATAATTCCAACCATCAAAATAAATTTGAGAAAAAAGGGTCCACCAAGCCTCACAACAGGCTGAGCAGAATCCCTTCGTCCAACATGTAGACATTGGAACTCCTCTACTGGTATGGTTAAAAGTTCACTTAAGATTTATCTAACCGGATTGGATTTTCTCAATTTGATCATCTAATTTGTGAGAGTGTTTAGACTTAATCGGTTTATTTTAGAAGTGCAAATCTTTTGGAGTGATTTTTTGTACAATAATCTTAAAGTTTTTCTATGATTGAAATTTTTTTTTAAGTAGTTATCAATATCATTGTATCCTCAACTTTGTATTATTATACCCTCAAATTTTATAAAATTAAATATTAGCCATTCAAAAAATCACTTTAAGATCATTATTAAAAAAAAATCAATATAGAGGATCTTGATTCTTATATAAGGGCTAATCTCGATAATTTAAACCGTCAATTTTTAAAATTTATTAAGTAACATATTTTTATTAAATAAACTTTGCAAAGATTCTAAATTTCATTATGTGGTTTGCCAATTATCTAAACATACTCGTACCAGTTACATACCTCATATGACTCGTGCCCCTAATGCTTTAGACCTTATACATTCCAATGTTTGGGGCCCATCTCTTGTTCCTGCTTTTTCTGGCCATCAATATTATGTCACCTTTATTGATGACCACAATAGATACACTTGGGTATATTTGCTCCATCATAAGTCTGACGTGTTTCCCATTTTTATTCAGTTTTTGCAAATGGTTAAGACTCAATTTCGTACAGTTGTTAGGAATATTCGTTCTGATAATAGTGAGTAATATTAATCTTCCTCTTTTCCATTGGAGTAGATTCCAAATGCAGTAGTGAACAACAACAATGCAACGCATTAGCTTCGTATTACGTTTGGGACGGATCGAATCTCACATACATATCCAAATTACTTTCCTCTTCACTATCCCAAATCCAAATCTACAATCCTCAAATCACCAATACAGACTCTGTTCAACGCGATTCCAGAGTCAATGTCCCCTTCTCATGTGCTTGCATTGGCGAACTAGGGTTTCTAGGTCACAAGTTCGTTTACGAGGTCCAATCGGAGGACACCTACATATTGATTGCCGAAAGGAACTATGCGAGTCTCACTACTGTTGAGATGTTGCAGAGATTTAACGGTTATGATACGAATCGGATTCCGGTTAAAGCGATGGTGAATGTTGTTGTGAATTGTTCGTGTGGGAATAGTCGTGTGTCGAAAGATTATGGGTTTTTTATAAGTTATCCTCTTCGTCTTGGTCAGAATTTGTCTGCAATTGCTGCTGAATTCAATCTTTCTCAACAGTTGTTGAAGGATTTCAATCCCAATTCGGATTTCAGTGGTGGGACTGGTTTGGTTTTTATTCCTGGGAAAGGTGATTTTATTTTTTTTTTTTGAAAAAAGAGTACTCTTTAGTTTGGAGTTTATGGAGGGTTTTTAATTCGAATTTTTGTATTTTTAGTGATTTTTTAAAAATATTTTTAATTAATATATTATTTTTAAAAAAACTTTTTAGATTTACTTAATCTTGATATACTTATAAAGTATAAAATTTGTACAAAAATCTTTAAAAATCTTATTGACAGAATATAAAAATATAAGAAAATATATTGAATTTTTGTATTTGTTGTTTGGTGAATTTTTTAACATTTGTTTAACAAATATTTTATTTTTTAAGTATAAAATATTTTTAAAAATTCACTAAAAAAATTATGAAAAATAAAAAACTCAATTTTCAGAAAAATAGATAAAACTAAACAATGCTTCTACAAATCGACATACAGATAAGTACAATTTTCAAGGTGATTCAAAAATGAAAAGTGGAAAAGAGTGGGCTTAGAAAGTAAGTTCTTAAATATGGAAAATGCTAATGACACCATAATGGTTGGCTGGATTTTGATTCTCTTCATTTCATGAAATGAAATCTTTATTTCACGAATGAAATGGCGACATGTTATCGAAGTGTAAAACTTATGGTGTATAATTAGGAAAATTCTACCATACACATCCCATTTTAGGTGTGCACGACTCATTATTGTGTGATTATTATTTTGGTTGTGATACAAAAAGTCTTTAGGTATGACTTACTATTTTTTTAAAAAAGTTATGACTGAAAATGATTGAGTTATGATATTTGGATACGAGGGTGTGACCCCTATAATTAACATACAATAGGTATTGTAACTGTCCTTTAACATGTTACTATTAGTATTACAAGTTTTCTTTATACATGCCTGTAATTTAAAATCAAAATTTGTGATCTGAATTTTCATAATTATTGATAATAGAATGTAGATCTCCATAAAATAAATAGAGGATTTGTATTTTGGTTTGTTATTAATTCAAATACAAACTGTATAGAAATGTGTAAACAATGTGTAGAAATAGATAAAAATGTTTACAAACATTTGAAAATTGCATTGGCATTCTAACTACTTTGGTTAAAATGTTTGTCATTAACATAACCCATTAAATATTATAAACCAAACCAAACCAAACAAAGCCTTAAGTTTCATCAAATGGGGTCGGCAACCCATTAAATATTATAGGGAACAAAAAAAAAATCAAAGATGCTTCTTGGATTACTGCACATAGTAGTCTCATTTGGTTGAAAATGAGATTGTTATTTTAGCAACTTTAGATTGTGTTCAGACAAATTTTTCTTTTCAAATTTTTGTCTACTGGTACCTTAGTTGACCAAGAAGATATTAATGGGTTGATTTTAGAAGCACATACAAATTGATTGATATGTTTCTCATCTTTCCAGTTTTATTGCAACTGCATTGACCTTGCTAAGTTCCCAGTCCCCACTCATAACTTCCTTTCCTATTTAATGCAGATCAAAATGGAACTTACCCTCCATTTAAGTCAAGGTAACTTGTGCCACCTTGATGTGATCTTTGGGCTTGTTTTATTTTATTTTATTTATTGTTTCCCTTTGTCCTTGTTTCTAACTAACATTTCTATCTTGTTGTCCTGTTTATTTTTCGCAGCTCAAGTGGTGGTGGGTTCTTATTTTCCATTTGTTAAATGTTGCTTATCTCAACATATCTTTTTTCAAGGTCAAATAGGAAGTGTCAAGATGTTTTTGATGTTGCCATAAGCTTACAGTGTGGTGGCCTTTTAAGCAGGAATCACAGGTGGATTCATTGCTGGCATAACTGTTGCAGGTGTTGCTGGGGCAATGCTCTTGGCAATTGGTTTCTATGTTGGATTTTACAGAAGGAATAAGGTGGTCAAGGGTTCACTTCTCAGAGAAGCGTTTGACAGACATGCACATGGTCAGGGTAATCATTGTGTTTGCAAATGCTTGTTTGGGCTATATCTAATATAAACCTCAACTAAAGGAGTTCTTGAATTTGAAAATTGAAATATTTTGAAATGGACCCTAATGTCGCTGAAGACTGCTATGCTACTAAGCTAATAATTCACCTGTTTTCACGATCCTAATCATTAAAATTTTTTATAAATGGAATATGTCTTGTTCTTCAGGAACTTTTCTGTAGATGACCCTGTGGCCTGCTGTCTGAGGCACTGATATATGGAACTAAAACCTGCTAGTATTATATAAAGATTAAAATGAAGAATGATTTTACTTGTCGTCATACTTTTTCCAAATGTATCTGAAGTAATGGTTTTTTTCAAGATTCAAGCGACTGTTTCTCTAGCTTGTCGAATCCTTTATTGGGTGCAATTAATTGAAAGTTTTTGATAGATGACATCATCCAATTTGCACAAATCTACACTGTAAACCCTATAGTTTTGTGAGATAGAAAGATAGTGGTGACCCAAAATTTTGTGTGCTTCATTAGTTATTTGCTCAAGTGCCGTGGATGCCAAGCTGCATTATTGATAATGTTTTGCATGTATCAAGTATTTTTCTCTCTTTCTTGTGTATTCAGGCCCTGAAAGTACTTTGGAGAATACTTCAGAATCAGGACCTCTTGTTGGTGGTGTTTCCCTGGGGCTTACGGGTATCACTGTAGACAAATCAGTGGAGTTCTCGTATGAAGAGCTTGCCAAGGCTACGGATGACTTTAGCTTGGCTAATAAGATTGGCCAAGGTGGTTTTGGGTCTGTTTACTATGCGGAGCTAAGAGGCGAGGTTTGTCTGTGCTGTTCATATACCAGTATGAATTTGCTTACTGATTTATAATGTCTGTTTTTTTTTTGAATTTTTTTTAAGGTTGTAAGAAATAAATACCTTTGAAGTATCATTAAACGATATGAATATTACTTGCTTTGCTACATTTCACGTTGTTCTTCCTAGAATGAACCTATTTGGTGTTGGTTCTCAAGTAAGTTGAACATGAAGAGTATGACATTGGAATAGAACTGGATTGGAGGTCCTTCCTGATCCTCTGATTGAGTGGTTCAAAACATCTTTTACCTTTATCTTTCAGATAAATGGTACTTTGGACCTTGGCCAGTGGTGCAAATAATTGTTGTTTCCCTTTTAACTTGTGTTTGACATTGTCATTGTTTGATTTGTTTCTTTTACTTTTGTTTTTGTTCATGATGTGCCATTTTCGCTGCTGATCTATATCTTGATACTCCCTCTGTCCCAAAATAATGGTCCTTTTTGGGGAATCCAACTTTTTTTGGTAGTACAATTGTTGCACTTTAAAAAAGTTGATTTTCCAAAATTACTCTTTTGATAGTACATTTTTTGGGAATATCAATGTCATAATTGTACTTTTTATATTGTTTATTAATTTAAAAGAAGGGCAAAATAGGAAATTTATATTATTTTTGTACTTGATTTTTGAAGAGGGACTAATATTTTGGGACAATGAAAAATGGAATAAGGGATTACTATTTTGGGACGGAGGGAGTATGTTAAACTCCCACCTTTCCAAAAACCAACTCCATTTTTGTACAAATGAAAGAACAAAACTCACTAAAACATGGTAAATGAGCAAATTCTAAGTTCAAATCAAAATCACAACTTTCAATCCAACCCCAATTGTCCATTCATAAAATCAAAACTTGAAATAGAGGAGGACAAACAAGAGTTATGCACATTGGAGTCCTATGTTTCAAAAATCCATGAAAATTCCTTCATCATCTTCAAACTCATGCAATAACAAGTGAATAATTATGAAAGATGACATGTTTAAGTTATTTCCTACAATTTTCCCCTTTAGGGTTGACATACACTAATTCAATCCCTAATTCAACTCAAACTCTCCATTCTCATGTGTAATTTAACTCAAGTTCAATAGTCTAGGGAAAATTTCTTACCTTCTATGGTTGATTTGGTGAAATTGCTCCAATCTTCCTTCTTCCCTCTTTCCTTGTCCTCTTTTCCTCCTTGTTCTCTAGGCTCTAGAGTGCTCCCTCTCTTTTTATCTCTCAAATTATATCACTTTCCTTCACACTTGAGTCTAAACACATAAAATTTCTATCTTTAACTTGGCTTAATCATTTTTAATTTAAATTACAATTACTTAAATCAAATCAAGTCATTCCTCACCATAATCTAATTTTGACTTAACCCAAATTGAATCTGATTAAGGTGAATTAGGCTCTAACCACCTAGTCCATCATTTAATTTTTGGCCTTATAATTTAATGAATCAGATAGGTCTAGTTCATATATTCTCATATCTATCAATCAAAACATAAGTCAAATAGTACATGGCTCACAATTAACACACACATATAAGCCTATAAGACAGATAAGTCATATATAAACACATGATTAAGGTAAGCCACAGAAGTAATAGTTAATTACAAATGCGGGTGTTACATCCTAACTACATTCAAACCTCAAATAGGTAGATCTAGTTGATGGAACAGTTTAGAGAAATAGAGCTAAAAAGCTATGGAGTTTTGGCTAATAATTTCTACAAATTGGAGTCTAGTTACTACGAACACTACAAGAACATCATGGGTCACAAGATCTTTCACGTTGGCCCAGCAGCTCTGATTCATCGAAACGCTACCAAACAGGTTGATCGAAGCCACAAAATGGTAGTCGGAGAGCACAAATGCTTGTGTTTTCTCGACTTGAAGAAACCTAGTTGGCGATGCCTCGACCGTCGTTGATGTTGTAGAGGCGCTTAATGGGAGTTTGGATCCTCTCCAGCCATTCTCTACTGCCCTTCCTTCGGGGGACGGGCCAGATTTGGCCACGTCACCCCACAATAAATCTAGGGCTCAGATTAATTCAAAAAAGAGGAGTAGGTGGTAGTATGTTAGGAGTTTGCGGGGGGCTGTTAAAATTTACCATCACCTACCACCAATTTACCATCACCTACCACCACCTACTCCTCACATACTACACTCACCCTCTCCTATATAATGAGCCACTCACCATTTGTAATATAGACAACAACATACAACAATCAATAATACAATTCTATATTTCTCTTTATACATCAATTTTAACACTAATCATTAAAATTTTTTATGAATGGAATATGTCTTGTTCTACAGGAACTTTTCTGTAGATGACTCTGTGGCCTGATGTCTGAGGCACTCATATATGGAATTAGTATTATATAAAGATTAAAATGAAGAATGATTTTACTTGCCGTCATACTTTTTCCAAATGTATCTGAAGTAATGGTTTTTTTCAAGATTCGAGCGACTGTTTCTCTAGCTTGTCGAATCCTTTATTGGGTGCAATTAATTGAAGTTTTTGATAGATGACATTATCTAATTTGCACAAATCTACAATGTAACGCTATAGTTTTGTGAGATAGTAAGGTAGTTTTGCATGCTTGATTAGTTATTTGCTCAAGTGATGTGGATGCCAAGCTGCATTATTGATAATGTTTTGCATGTATCAAGTATTTTTCTCTCTTTCTTGTGTATTCAGGCCCTGAAAGTACTTTGGAGAATCCTTCAAAATCAGGACCTCTTGTTGGTGGTGTTTCCCTGGGGCTTACGGGTATCACTGTAGACAAATCAGTGGAGTTCTTGTATGAAGAGCTTGCCAAGGCTACAGATGACTTTAGCTTGGCTAATAAGATTGGCCAAGGTGGTTTTGGGTCTGTTTACTATGCAGAGCTAAGAGGCGAGGTTTGTCTGTGCTGTTCATATACCAGTATGAATTTGCTTACTGATTTATAATGTCTGTTTTTTTTTTGAATTTTTTTTAAGGTTGTATTTTGAAGATTGTAAGAAATAAATACCTTTTAAGTATCATTAAACGATATGAATATTACTTGCTTTGCTACATTTCACGTTGTTCTTCCTAGAATGAACCTATTCGGTGTTGGTTCTCAAGTAAGTTGAACATGAAGAGTATGACGTTGGAATAGAACTGGATTGGAGGTCCTTCCTTGATCCTCTGATTGAGTGGTTCAAAACATCTTTTACCTTTATCTTTCAGATAAATGGTACTTTGGACCTTGGCCAGTGGTGCAAATAATTGTTGTTTCCCTTTTAACTTGTGTTTGACTGTCATTGTTTGAGTAGTTTCTTTTACTTTTGTTTTTTGTTCATGATGTGCCATTGTCTCCACTGATCTATATCTTGATATAAAGGCTTACATTCTCGGATTTTTTATTTTTTAATTTAACCATTTAGATATAGTAATTTTTCTCCTAGAAATTGAATAGCTGAATCCTTCCTCGCACTACTGTCACAGAAAGCTGCAATTAAGAAGATGGATATGCAGGCATCAAAAGAATTCCTTGCTGAGCTGAAAGTTTTAACACATGTTCATCACTTGAACTTGGTATTGTTCTTTCATTTGTTGCTTTTCATAGTACTGAAATGTTTAGGTTACTTTTCTAGTGTTATTAACTACGTCATTTTCTACAGCTTCTTCTAGAACTTGAATTGCTAGACAAAAGAAGGTTTTTATTTTTTATTTTTTTAACTCAGTAACATATTTTTTAAGCTAATAAGCTGTTGAATAGGATTTTGAATTATGTGTTAGGCAAAGATAAGTATGCAATATTTTTGGGGGGAAAATATACAATATTTTTGGGGAGGAACTTTTTCCCCTTTGCTGAAATTTACCAATCAAGCCTTTTAATGTGAGATGCATTCGGTTTTTGGGGCTATAACATGATAATTAAACAAAACATTTGATTTGTATTTCTGTGATTATAAAACTTTTGAGGTGTTTACTTCTACATCATTCTTGAAGTGGTTTAGTTGTTGATTTTTTATTGAGTTTGTGTTACTAATATTATTGAAAATTCAATGCAGGTGCGCTTAATAGGTTACTGTGTGGAGGGCTCATTATTTTTAGTCTATGAATTCATTGAGAATGGCAACTTAAGTCAACATCTGCGTGGTTTAGGTGAAAATGCTTATGCATCCATGAAGTGTGAATTCTATCCCTTAGTACTGCAGTCTGTTTTATGATTGTATAACTTATGTTGCTTTCAGGTAGGGACCCATTGCCATGGTCTACTAGGGTGCAAATTGCCCTTGATTCAGCTAGAGGACTCGAATACATCCATGAGCATACTGTCCCTGTCTATATTCATCGTGATATTAAATCAGCAAATATTTTGATAGACAAAAACTTCCATGCAAAGGTTGTGAAAATGCCTTTACTAGTTTGGTGGATTGTGATTGTGAACATTTATTATTTCAAGTAGTTTAAATTGCTGTATATACTACATACAGGTTGCAGATTTTGGGCTGGCAAAACTGACCGAAGTTGGGAGTACTTCATTGCACACCCGTCTTGTGGGTACTTTTGGATACATGCCTCCAGAGTGAGATTAGTTCATCTTGCTGCTTCCTCATTTTTCACAATGAGTTAATAATATCATTTAAATTGTGCTATACATTCATAAGAAGAATTATAGTGAACCTCTCATGCTCTTATGTTGTCAAACTTGCCTTTGCTCATAGTGCAAAAGGCAACTCTGCTTGTGTAAATTTTTGTGACGAGAGTGGTGATAGAGCTACATAATCCAAAGAAATGCTTCACTGTTCAAGGCAAGTTATGGTTGTCTGTGAGAAGCAGGAAAAAAAAAATGTAAATGAAACACCTTTCAAAATAGATTTTTGTTTGGTTTATTAGTATATGGAGAGTCACCTGTAGGAAAGAACTATTAAAGTAGGGGAGCTATAATGTGTTAGGGATCATCATAAATGGCAATCATTTAGGATGACACACCACATAGTTGATTGCCTTCTAATGTTAGTAATTAGCACCCAATTGATTGTCTTTTTATTACTCCCTTTTTTAATGAGAGCTGTGGTTGAGAGTTCATATTCTAGGGAAGAATTTGTGGTTGTGGATCTGATTAGTCATGGTGGTAAGTGATGGTTGAGGAAACTGGACAGTTCCATTGAAAGTGCAAAGACAGAGCTAATGTTAATGAACTATAAGTTTGTTGTTGAGTTGGGTGATTAGTTTGCCAGTAAAAGATTGACTTGGAAAATTTTGAGGCAATTACATTTAGTGATTTAACTTGTGGCTTGGAATTCTTTTAACCCTCATATCCCTTTGTTATCTTGTTGACCTGTGCTTTGCAATGTAAAATGATTATTGGAAAAAGAAAACAAAAGCTAATAGCAAAGTTATCTTTTTTCTTACACATGAATGGATTATATTTCCCGGGCTCATGAAACTAACTGTTTTTTTGTCTAGTTCCATAGTTCATAACTTATCAATGCTGTCATATTTAAATTTTTTATGTCAAACAAGACCTCTGTGTCGCACTTCAAATAGAAGAATTAGTATGATAGGTTTCCAATTGCTCCAAAATAACTTTGGTCCTGTTTGGTGCACAACTTATGGACTGGAAAAACTGATTAAACCGATTGAACCATATCAAACCACCTATATTTGCTCTTGTGAGACCCAGAAAAATCCTCTCACATGGATTGTTGAAGAGATTCAACGAAGAGATGAGCTTAACCCCTGTAGATCTGCAAAGATGAACATAGTCGGCACCACCCTACTGGGGTTGCCGGCCGAGGACACTCCAATGGTGAAGTTAGTCACTTGAATGAAAGAAAGAAGGTATAGAAATGAAGAGTGTGTTTTGTTCTAGAGGGAGATGAGGCATACCTATATTCATGGAGTGTTCTCCTTTTATAGATGGAGAGTGTGATATTTGTCCCATGGGCTTCCTTGTTTGGGCTGGGCCCATTGTCAGGCCTTGTTTAGGTTAGCCCAATAAGCTGATATATAATTTTTTTTCCTGGCTCCCACAAATGTCCCAGAACTTTCATTGTTTGCTGTAGAAGGAATGAGAGTTTTTATTGCCGAGCCACATTCTTCAAATAGATGTTAGGTTTCTGGGTAAAGAACACTTTGGATAAATGAATGACTGTATGAATGCATGTATGCTTGAATGTATGCACAAATGTATGTATAACTGTATGTATGTTTTGCACTGAATTCAGAGGCTTTTGCTGATGGCGCTTTGTGATGAGCACGAAGGGCGCTCCAAATTTAGAGGCTTTCGTCGATGGCACTTCGTGCCAAGCACGGAGAGTGCTCCAAATTCAGAGGCTTTTGTCGATGGCATTCTGTGCCGAGCACGAAGATTGCTCCGTAGATGGAGGCTTTTGCTGATAACGCTTCGTGTCGAGCACGAAGATTGCTCCGTATTTGGAGTCTTTTGCTGATGGCACTCCGTGCCAAGCATAAAGATTGCTCCGTATTCGGAGGCTTTTGTTGATTGTTAGTGACAATCAATTTCAGACATTGCAAGGCTTTTGAGTAGTTCATCCCATGTCATTGATTGCCTGTACTAAATGATAAAAAATAGCATTGCTCCATTGTACAATAGATATTGGAAGCAGATTGAAATAGGTGTTTTAAGTTGCTGTGTTGTCCAACATATATTTGCCCCATTGCTTGCGAATGACAGTCGTTATTCGGAAGGAATTCAGATTGGACTCTGGCCAAAAGTGCCAAGGAGTAAGCCGAGAACAAATAGGTGAAGCGGATTCCTTCCCCCAATGCTTTGGAATGACAGGTGTTATTCAGAAGGAGTTCATAATGGATTCGTGCCGAGATTGCCAAGGATCGGTTTGCCATGTTTTGAGGCAGGTTTGGCTTTGGTGACGAATGATTCTAGCTGTAATTTTGGCGGGAAGTCGCCAAATATGTTGTAGTCGTTGAATTCAGCATTGATCAAACTCCAGGCGAGGCTGCAACAATAATGTTGTTGGAGTTGTGATGGATATGTAGCATTGCATAAAAAATCTACAAATGGTTGGTATGGAATTTGCAAAATTAGACCATACGGATGTGTTCAGAAGGCTCCAAATAGTTGAAAACGACTATTGGATCATTGTAATCGGACTCCTGATGGTGTAGTTTGTGCCAAAATGGATTTGAGGGCTCAGATCGGTTGAGAATGGTGCTTCGCGAGGCACTGGATAACGGTCCATATTTGCTGGAGTCAGTGGCTTGGTGACGTCAGTGGTTTGGCTTGGTGGCTTGGCTCGGCTCAGCCTAGTGGTTTGGGCAAAAAATACACAGGTAAAGTTGTTGGCGAGACTTGAACCCTCGCTTTTGTGCAAGAGGAATAAGACCAAACCACTTTGCCACAAGAAGTCCTTGTGTTTGTATTCTGCAAGTTATGTATTTGAACTTGATTGTGGTTCAAGCATGGGCTTGGTGTGAAACCTTCTAGATGAAACGTAGCCGCAATGCACACAATAATTTATTTTGTTTGCCATGGTTGTCTTCTCTAGCGAATTAGTGAATGTTTAGGCAAACTTTGACCGGCCTGTACGGGTTTGTTTTAGCTCCGATTTCGATGCGGTTTGTTGCATTGAACTCGTCACAATGAGTACTTCAAATGGGTATAGTCAAAACTTGAATGTGATAACTTTGAAAAATATCAGTTTCAGAGAATTTAGTTTGTTTCGCAACTATCGGCGACCGTCAGTTAGTAAGGCTCTTCTAGTCGGTGAGTCTAGACTCCTCTAGTCAACATGAACCCTCCAGTAGGCCAAGAAATTCTTGTGGTCTTGCCGAAAAATTGTTCGCATGAAGAAGAATGTAGACCCAATTTCTAGAGAGAGAAAATGGGCACGTAAATGCGGTCAGCGACGCTTTGGCTGGCTGAAACACTTGGTTCTCGGCATTGTAGCTGACATGATTAAAAATGTATGCATTGCTCGTGATGGTTACCATTGCCGGCGAGCTTGAGGACAAAGTTGTAGCGCTGAGAGCTATGAAGCACGGGTACTCCAAAAATAGTGTCGTACGAGTGTCGGGTACTTACCGGGTGCGGGTACGCGTACCAGTACGGCGGTACGGGTACCGGGTACGGCAAAAGAGGGTCCGGTACGTTTGGTTCATTCGGGTACAACGTGGTACGGCGTTGGTATGTTTCGGGTACGCCAGGGCCAATTTTTTTATTTTTTCTTTCTTTCTTTCTTTTTTGTGCCCTTGCAGATCGACAATTATTATTTATTTATTTTTATTTATTTTTTTTGTGCCCTTGTAGATCAGTAATTTTGATGTTTCTCTGCTGTCCTGTTTGTCTGTATGAATTGTGTAAGCATATCAGCAAATGATTTTGATGTTTTTAAAAAGCAATTTGAACAAAAAAAAAATAACAAGGCCTATAAAGGATAGTTCTATGTATGACTATGCATTATACTTTTGCTTCAGATCCTCCTAGAATTTCTTTATAAAATCTTTAATCATAACAAACTTTTAAAGTTTATGCACAAAACATTAAAAATTGATACTGTATTAGTCGATTAATAGTGGTTGGGAATGATGCAATTTTATGTATTATGCAAATTGCAATGGACAACCTGCCCCAATTGAGAATTTTTTTTCCTTTACTGTTGGCAATTAGCTTTAAATCTTACTTTGGTCTCCTATTATTTCTTTGGTCTCACCTTATAAAAATAGCAAATTGATGAGCAAAAAGAAAGATTTTAAAAATAAATTATGATCACAAATTCACAGTTCATAACATGTCAAAGTGAGAGGTTTCACAAATATTATTTTTAACGCTTCATGGTTTTAAATTATAGGAAAATGAGTGGTTCTCTTTTTAGTTTTGATATTTAATTTTAATTTGTAAATTGGATCCTTTAACCATAATTATATTAAAAATAAATAAAAAATATCGGTGTACCGCAGCCGTACCCGTATCATACTTTTTTTGAGTTTTGCCGAATCGACGTACCCGCACTCGTACCCGTACCATACTCGCACCCGCACCCGTGCTTCCTTGGCCGAGAGTCAGATAACAAGTTGCTTTGTGCGAATTTGATAATCAGTGGATAATTCCATTGCTTAGAAAAAAGTCTTGCTGGATGTTAAAATCCACCTACTCTCCACCTACTTCACCCACTTAAACCTACTCCACTAAACCTAACCCACTACACCACTACCACCTCACCTACTCCACTAAACCTAACCCACTACACCACTACCACCTCCACTTCACCTACTCCTTACCTACTACACACTCACCCTCTTCTATATATAGGAATCATGAATCATTGTAATATACTAAAAACATTATATCAATCAATAATACAATTCTCTATTTCTCTTTATACATTAAATTTTTACACTGGATGGAGACATTGCCGAGCTACCTATGTGGTTCTACCGAAGAGTCTTAGTGTAGTTGAGCGGATGGGATGAGCGCTAGTTCTACATGCACTCAGTGGCACTTGTTTGGTGTTGTCGCCATCTCGGAATTGTAGTTCAGACATCGGTAAGACATGGTTTGAGTACCGAATTGATAAATGGGTGCTAAGGTTGTCATTAAACGACCGATTAACACGGAATGGTTGCCGAGTTGTGCAAAGGTCCATGCGTGGACATGTTGAGTAGCCTGCTGCAAGTTGCGCCGCCACTAGACTGGGTTGCAGAGATGCCAAGTTGTGTTGTAACGATGGGCAGCTTGGGTGAGCTGTAGTGATGCCGAGAAGGGTTGAAGAGCTGTCGAATAGCCTTGTTGGATTGCTGAACAGCTCCATTGTTGGTTTGCCAAACAACTTTTGTTGAAAAACTTGTGATTCTAGTGGAAACCCAACTGATTGGAAAGCCAAGGAACTTGAGTTGTGTGCCGAGTAATTGGCGCCAAAACACCTGGATCCGTCTCAGTTATAATGTGACTTTGCCGAGAGCTTGGTCGGCAACACTTGGGGCTGTGGTTGTAGCCAACATGATTATAGCCTTCGTTTGGCATAAGCTAAAATGGGGCTTTTTAGCTAAAATAGCCACAAAAGGACAAAATAGATTTTTTAGCCTAATAAGACAAAATATCACATCCAAACTATAATCATTTCATTTTTTCTCTTACAAAAGTCAAAAAAGTCAAAACCCAAACGAGACTTTTTAGCCCAGGCTAAAATAGCCAAAAAATCAACCCATTTCCCAAACGAACAATTGCACCGATGAGCGTGGCGATGGAGTTGTGGTGCCAAGCGTCCAAAAACGGTCGAGCGGCTATGCGAATTCAACAAGGTGGTGGCTGAATGACTTATGTGTGGCCGAGTAATGAAGCAAGTCACTAATCCATGCAAATATTAGTGTCGATGCACATATATATATATATTTGTATACATATGGAGATAGCTTCTAGAAATGAGATTTAGAATAACAAGAGAGTTGACGGGCAACCCAATAAAGAGGTACGGTTGTTGTGAGGCAAATCGAATAAATGCTCGTTATATCATGCCCAAGATCAGTTTTGTTTTTGTTCGGTCCCATAGTAGTTGCCTTATTCTCAAATGGTAATTTCTTAATTTGTATGCAATTGTTGCCAACAATGCTCAGCTTGCGAGTTATTATTTTTATTATCAGCCGTAAACTTTGGCCAAACAGGTTTTGGAAGAGTTGTTGAAAAACCAAGTTGACTTTGTGCTGAGTTAAATGGGTCTTTCAGTTACTTCTCATGTTGGTTCTGCCGAGAGGACAGTTTGGCCCAACGTCTCAACTAACAAACCAGCCATTTGGACACTTCCACTTTTTTGTCGACAACCTGCACTGTCTTGCTGGCCAAAGGACTTTTAGAGAGAAAGTAAAGACCCAACTTTGGATTCCATAAAAATTGCTAGTATAGGTACATGTATGTATGTCAAAAATCAATTGTAAAATGAGCTTTGAGAGAAAGAATAAATAAATTGAGTTTGGCTAAGCAACCTTGTTGAATTGCTGAAAATATGCTTTTTTCAAGAAAAGTGTGAAACCCATTTGTAGAGAGAGAAAATGGAGATGCAAAAGTAGGCCCATAAATTCTGTTATGTTTTAAAACTTTTCTATCAACATTCACCATAAACAAAAGTTTCAACAGAGTTTGTAAGCAAACACATATGTATATACAATTCAAGAATCCATTTGAAAATAATTTTAAAAATAAGTTTAATCAAAGAGAAGACAGATCACCATCACAGTGTTGTTGAAGTTTTACTTACAATAACATATTTGCCATTTACTTCGTTGAACTCTCTTAGACGATTTCCATAGACGGTGTCAATTGTGAGACCCAGAAAAATCCTCTCACATGGATTGTTGAAGAGATCTAATGAAGAGATGAGCTTAGCTCCTGTAGATTTGCAAAGATGAACATAGTTGGCGCCACCCAACCAAGGTTGCCGGCCAGAGACACTCCAATGGTGAAGTTAGTCACTTGAATGAAAGAAAGAAGATATAGAAATGAAGAGTGTGTTCTGTTCTAGAGAGAGATGAGGCATACCTATATTCATGAGGTGCCCTCCTTTTATAGATGGGGGGTGTGCTATTTGTCCCATGGACTTCCTTGTTTGGGCTGGGTCCATTGTCAGGCCTTGTTTGGATTAGGCTAAAAAGTTGATATATATATATATTTTTTTTTTCTGGCTCCCACAGTTCTGTTTTTTAATAAGAATTAGTCTATGAGGTTTTTTTATTAACCTTATCATCTCTATAACCGAAGTTTGTAAACTTTTATTATATATAATTTTGAATCTAACTCATTATTCTTGAAACCTTAGTATTTTTGAACTTTTTTGTTTGTTTGTTTGTATTTTTGTTAATTTAGAAATTGAAAAGTATTTATTAAATGAATGGATTGAATATGTTTGAAGTGGTAAACAAATAATTAATATTTTTATATAAATCAGTAACTATATTAAAAAGTGGTTCAAGTTTGAAAGGTCCTAGACTGATTAAACTGCACCGAACTGAATCATCTCAATCGGTTCGGTTTCATGCGGTTTGATGGGAGAAGCGGACTCTATCCGTGCTCAAAATAATAAAACTGACATTATCGGTTCGGTGAAATTTTTTTCCTAAATACCGACCGTACCGAACCAATTACATCCCTACTTATGGGGCTCTACTTATATCTTCATTTTTATTTTAGAAATTTGTATCATACTGTTTGGTGCAGCTTGTGTTTACTACTTACGAGTCAAAAATAACTTTAAAAAGCTGAAAAAAGTTGATCGTGAAGAAGCAAAGGAAGGGGTGTTTTTTGCTTCCGCTTTCTGATTACCAACTTTCAACTTGCAAGAAGCTGCAACAAACAGGTCGTTTATACCTGGATTACTTGCTGCAAGGATGGCTACATCCCGAACAACCTACTGGGATCATGCGCCATCCTTGAACTGATTTTATCTGTCTTAAATATCTCTATGTCTGAACACAAAGTTTCAAGTTGTTTTGGTGTTGGATGCAGGTATGCTCAGTATGGTGATGTTTCTCCCAAGATAGATGTATATGCTTTTGGAGTTGTCCTTTATGAACTAATATCTGCTAAGGAAGCCATTGTCAAGACTAATGAAGTTGTTACTGAATCAACGGGACTCGTTGCTTTGGTAAATCTTGTGTCCTCGCTCAACCCTTAGTAACACCTCGAATCAAATCTACAAGAACTAATTTTAATTTTGCTTTATCGATGTTATACAGTTTGAGGACACTCTTAAGCAGCCTGATCCTAAACAAGATTTACAAAAGCTGGTTGACCCTAGGCTTGGTGATGACTACCCTCTTGACTCAGTCTGCAAGGTGAAAACATATTCCATCTGGTGCAAGTTTTTGACAACTGCCCGTAATCTTGACAAAACTATGGTGGCTTTTTTCGGTTGCAGATTGCCCATCTTGCCAGAGCTTGTACACAGGAAAATCCTCAACTGAGGCCGAGCATGAGGTCAATTGTGGTTGCACTAATGACACTTTCATCTTCAACCGAGGATTGGGATGTTGGATCGTTTTATGAAAACCAGGGTCTAGTCAATCTAATGTCGGGAAGGTAGCATATGGCCCACCAGGCTCACCTGGATGTCTTGATTCACCTTATGTCTAAGACCTCAATCATCTGAGTCAGAACATGTGGTATTTGTAAATTGTAAATATCTGCAACTTGGTTTTCCAGAAGCAATTAACATGTAAAGTCATATCTGGAAGGGGAAAAGAATTAAGAGGTGATGATATTGAGATTAAAAAAAATAAAGAGAGAGTAGAAGATGCTAGGTCACAATAACATGTAATAAAATTTAAAATTGTTGTTCATGATAAGGCCATTGTCTTGAGATTACAAATTTTTTTTTTTTCTTCTGTTATTAATTTGATGAAAGCATTTGAAAGTTTGTCCTTAAAAGTTCCAGCATTCTTCCCAGTTTTGTCCGACAATCAAAGCTAGCACAAGATAAACCATTCACGGGCTGGCGCTAATGGGAGAATGAAAACAGGATCGCATTTACATCACTTTTCGTTGCCTATTTGTGCTTGGATTTTAGTTCCTTCTCATATTATTTGGAGAGAAAAAACATAGTTTGCTAACTTCTATCAGATGTCCAGAATTTGTAGCTCTGTTAATAATTTGAGTAATTTATTTTTTTTAATTTCTTTTAGTTCACATAGTCCTTGATTTTCAGGCCATGGATGGTTAAGTGCTGATTTTGAGACAATGGATGGTAGTTGATTTTAGACTATTGATTTGATTTTGAAGAAAGGATGAACTAGCTTGTGGAGTAATACCAATTTTTGGATAAATTTTCTGTTGCAAGCCATGAAACGGAGCTGGTTGGTTTGGCCTATGCTTGTTCTGTATATAGGTATGATTTGGTTTTGAATTGTTCTTTCACTGAAGTAAGGTAATTTGATGCACATGATTTTTTTTTTTCTTCTCCTTTTTGGATTCGTGTGTTACTTGTGTGGTGTGGTTCTGGAATTTGATCTTTGTATTTCGGAGAAATCTATGGTGTGCATCCCTTAAAAGGGTACACTCTAAGGAAGTTATAATTTTTTTTTAGTGAAAGTTACGAATGCTTATAGTGCATTATGTCATTTTGTGGTGAAAGTTACGAATGATGAATCTATGGTATGCCCTGCTAAAGTAAAAGGGACGAACCATTGTGTTTATGTTATGAATTACGAAGGTTTTGTTATAAACAATGTGATATAAATGTTACGAATCATTTTGGTGAAAAAAAGCTATGACTACTTGTGGTGTTTCTTATGGAACATTATGTTTATTATATAAATGTTACGATAGAATACTACAGTAGCTGTCTTTTTAAAAGTGCACACCACAGATGGTAGTGTGTTTATGTTACATGTGATGTGTCCAGTATTGATCCATATTAATCAAAGGTGTTGGGAGAGATCAGAGGGTTCATTTGGCATGAAACTTTGGCTAAATTAGTTAATAAAGACAAAATCAGCTAATTTAGTCAATAAGACAAAATGTCACATTCAAATCATAATCGTTTTACTTTTTTTCTCATAGCTATCAAATCAATTACAAAAAAGTCAAAATTTATCCTAAACACAATTTTTTTAGCCAAGTTATGACCAAAAAGCCAAGCTAAATTAGCTCATCCCAAACATGGGTTTAACATTAGGCCAAAGTTTAATTTATGGATAATGAGTAGAATAGGACTATTTTATACGATGATGATATTTTTCGTAGTTGGTTCAGATTTTGTGTTAAGATAACTTAGGGGGAATTACATTGACATGGGTCAATCAAAAAATATTTATAAAATTTATAAAATATATTATAAATATTAATAATTAATATTATAATTTTTTTTTTATTGATTTGTAAATTTTTTTCACTATCATCACTGTCAGATAATTCTCTTGATAACTTATCATTGAACTCTTTTAATCTGGATATGCAAAATTATGTTGTCTTTTAAGTGAAAGGTCAACTTATCTTGTTAAATGAGTAAACTAAACTACCTTCTTATATATTTGCAAATCAAGTGTGACTTTAATGGTATTTGTAGAAGGTACTTGCTTTCAAACTTCTATTACTTGCTACTTTCGGTCGCATTTTATGGATGGATTATAAAATTAAAGGCAGTGGCTTCTCTTCGGACTGGAGCTGCTATTGGGCCTTCGTGGCCTACTACGAAGCTTATATTGATAATTCAAATAGTTTAATCTGTAAGGGTCGTCGAATATTTTATTCTTTTAAAAATTACATTAATTAGATATTAATAGTTACTTGATCAGATTAAATTTGTGTCAACGGTAAAGTATAGTTTTAAAAATAAATTGTTGACACAAATATAATCTAATCAAGTAGCTATTGATATCTGATCAATGTCATTTTTCACAAGAATAAAGACTCAATAAACCTTACACACTGAACGATTTGAATTATCAAGACCCAACATAACTGGACTAGACCTTCCAGTTGGGTATTCCAACATCCCCAAATTAAAAGTCATTTTATTTCAAAAGGTTAAAAAGTTGAGAACTTTTTATGAGTAATTTTTTATGAGAAGTCATGAATTTTCATGAAAGGTTGTGCTTTCAGTGACTCTTGACTCTCTATATATAGGGACTGTAATTTCAAATTTGCTGTCTGGAAATTATCTCTTATTTATTGTTCACAATAAAATAAATAACACAATTTCTTTGACTTTTAAGAATATGTTTGAATCACAAATTTGGATAGGAATTTACAGAGTTAAATATTTAATATTCACAATGATAGGAGTATAAAATTGGTCCGCGGCCCGTGGGCCACCCGAAGCCCTCTCACGGCCCGGGGCAAGCTCGTTTGGGCCCGGGCCCGAGCCCAGCCCGAGAACTTGGGCTAGGACCTGGGCCATCACTTTGAAGTTCGGCCCGCATAAGGCCTATTTAAGGCTCGGCCAGAGGCCCGGTGTCTTTTTTGTGGAAAATAATAAAATTTTAGGAGAAAAAATTAAAAAAAATGGCGAGGCTCACCTAAGCCCGACCCAAGCCCAAGTCTAGGCCCAAGCTTCTTGGCTCGACCCACCGAGGCACCCAAAGCCTAAATACCTTTGTGCTAGGGCTAGGCATCAAATAATTTGAGCCATCAATATCTCATCTTTTTCCGTCTCCTCCAGCATCTTTTCATACATTAGCCCCATCTCTCTTTTGTCTTTTATCTGTTAAGATAAGATCTTGCTCATGAGTGTTGGTATAAGAAAAATGGAAACTAATATATTATTAATACATAAAAGATGCAAACGATACTCTTACTTTTACAATTTTTTATTGAAATTTTTATTAATAAATCTCATTTAGAAGTATTTTAACTTAAAAAGTTCATAAATATGTATGTACAGTTTTTTTTCATAAATTCCTTTTTCTTGATTTACAGTCTTTTTTTAGACTCTTATGCCCTTATATTTAATTTTGATACCCTTACAAATATTTTTTGAACGGTTAGCAATTTTATGATGTAAATATTCATATTTTAACATTCACATTGGTAAGAATATAAAATTGACATGTGGCCCGTGGACGGTCCGAAGATCGCCCCCGGGTCGGGGCGAGTCTGGTCCGTTGACAATGTGAATATTCACATTGGCATGTTAACATTCACATTGATAGAAGTGTAAAATTGGTCTGCGGCCCGTGGGCGGCCCGAAACCTGCCCGGGGCGGGCTCGGCCCGGCCCGTTGACAATGTGAATATTCACATTAACATATTAACATTTATGTTAATATGAGTGTAAAATTGACCCGCGGCCCGTAGGCGGCCCGAAACCCGCCCGCGGGCCCGGCCCGTTTACAATGTGAATATTCACATTGACATGTTAACATTCACATTAATAGGAATGTAAAATTGGTCGGCGGCCCGTGAACGGCCCGAAGCCCACCCGTTGCTCGGGGTGGGGCGGGCTATAAATATTCATATTTTAACATTCAAATTTGTAAGAATGTAAAATTGGCTCGTGGCCCGTGGGCGGTCCGAAGCTTGCTCCCGAGTCGGGATGGGCCCGGTCCGTTGACAATGTGAATATTCACATTGACATGTTAACATTCACATTGATAGAAGTGTAAAATTGGCCCGCAGCTCGAAACCCACCCGCGACCGTGGGCTGCCCAGGGCGGGCCCGGCCTGGCCCGTTAACAATGTGAATATTCACATTAACATATTAACATTCACGTTGATAGGAGTGTAAAATTGACTCGCGGCCCGTAGGCGACCTGAAACCCGCCCGCGGGCCCAACCCGGCCCGTTTACAATGTGAATATTCACATTGACATGTTAACATTCACATTGATAGGAGTGTAAAATTGGCCCGCGGCCCGTGGGCAGCCCGAAGCCCACTCGTTACCTGAGGCTAGGCGAACTGCAAATATTCATATTTTAACATTCACATTGGTAAGAATGTAAAATTAGCCCGTGGCCCGTGGCTGTCCGAAGCTCTCCCTTGGGCCGAGGCGGGCTCGGTCCGTTGACAATGTGAATATTCACATTGACATGTTAACATTCACATTGATAGAAGTGTAAAATTGGCCCACGGCCCCGCCCACGGCCCGTGGGTTGCCCGGGGCGGGCTCAGCCCGGCCCATTAACAATGTGAATATTCATATTAACATATTAACATTCACGTTGATAGGAGTGTAAAATTGACCCACGGCCCGTAGGCGGCCCGAAACCTGCCCGTGGGCCGGGCCGGGCCCGTTTACAATGTGAATATTCACATTGACATGTTAACATTAACATTGATAGAAGTGTAAAATTGGCCCTCGGCCCGCAGCGGATTCGACCTGTTGACAATGTGAATATTTACATTGACATGTTAATATTCACATTGATAGGAGTATAAAATTGGGCCGCGGCTCGTGGGCCACTCGAAGCCCTCCCGCGGCCCGGGGCAAGCTCGTTTGAGCCCGGGCCCAAGCCCAGCCCAAGAACTTGGGCTAGGACCTGAGCCATCACTTTGAAGCTCGGCCCGCATAAGGCCCATTTAAGGCTCGGCCCAAGGCCCGACCCACCAGAGGCCCGGTGCCTTTTTTGTGGAAAATAATAAAATTTTGAGAGAAAAAATTAAAAAGAATTAAAAAAAATGGCAAGGCTCACCCAATCCCGACCCAAGCCCAAGTCTAGGCCTGAGCCCCTTGGCTCGACCCACCGGGACACCCAAAGCCTAAATACCTTTGTGCTAGGGCTAGGGCCTAAGCCTAATTTTTTGGCCCGTGGGCCGGTCCGGCCTGGCCTGAATTTTGGCAAGCATCTGCGAGGCTTTACATTGGTTGGCCCCGGCCCGGGCTGGGCCGAGCCCCTACACATTGATGATATGAACATTCACATTGATGGTGTGAACATTTACATTGACGATGTGAACA